CCAATGCAATAGTCCTGTCAACCAGGAGTCATACTTTCAAAACCTTGAAACACAATTTCCAATTTCTCTAGTTCATTCAACTTGTCAAACAGTGCATAATCAAGGGATCTCATCTTCCATGCCCATAAATATAAAGCAATCAGTGTTTCAAACATGCCAAACTGATTTTTCTACTGGGCATTCAATTTGCAGCTACTAGTTCAAACATAGCTCTTAGAACCATTTGCAGTGGAATTTAGTGATGTGATATATGGACTAATTAGCTTAGCTTACTAGACAGAACACTATTTCTGTTTGCGGTTTAACGCTGCGCTCAGCAATATTCCAGCTATATAACAGCGGTCTGTAACAAATCGAGTGTGAACCACACAATCCAGTGATTGACATCATGCAATTCCTGCAGACTAGTGCAAATTTCCCCATTGTTTTAACATTACAAAGGCATTTTATCTTTACCCAGGCTAGTAAAGCTATCAAGTTTAGTTCTAAAGCTGCCTCCTTGAACCAAGAAAAGCATAGGAAAATATAATGCCAGTATCCAAATTTGAAACGGATATTCACGATTAAAGAAAAAGAAAACATATGTTATGTTATGGTTTTTTTTTTTATTTTCTTATTTTGTTTTACACAAGTTTTACACAAGTGTCTAGTAGACCTTCTGTTCCTGTTTCTGGACAGCGACCCGGGTGTGGTGTTTGGACAGGTAGTCGGTGTATTCCTGGTACGGGCTCTTGATGAATACGGTCTCCTTCCACAGGTCAGGGGTCAGGTATGCGTACGTCTTGGAGATAGCCTGGTAGGTGGCCTTGGCTGTACAGGGAAAAAATATGTATGTAGAGACGTGTTCTTGGATTGACATGAATATCAGACTCATAAAGGCACATTGTGTCAAAGGTAAAACAATCATCTCAAGCCAATCTATTCTTTTTGCGCTGGCCTGTGGAGGCTACCCTGCCTATAGCTTTGTTTTTGTTCTTTAAGCCTTCTGTTTTTTCATTACTATTTACAGCAGCTATTGCTCTTTGAAAAAAACAAAACATTTATCAACTATTGTTAACCATTTGTATGCATATCAAACTGAAGAAAACAGTAAAGATTTACATGTTCAGTGGTCAACCAAAGGCAGATTACATTTCACTGTCAAAATTTCTTTCTACCAGTTGCTCTCTCTCAGGCTGAGCTTTGAGATGAGAGATACAAAATGATAGTGACACCCTAAATGTCCGCAAGAGGATAGAACTTAACTGCTTCAAACGAGCTGACTCTCAATTAAAAACCCTTAACATATTAGGGCTGTATCAAAACAATGTTAGGCTACAATAAGTCAATAAAAACTATTCATAAAACATTCACTCAAAAACATTTTCTCATAAAAAGGAAGACTACAGAGAACCGCACAAAACATCAGTAATCCTGAGAAAATCGAACTGACAATGCCATTAAAATTTATCATAAACATGTATTGTCTAGTATCACTGCCCACAGTGTTCTCATGAACAAATACCAAGATGAATTGTTACATCCCCATTGAACCAACAATATCCAAACAGCCACCATGAGTATACATGTTACACAAGGACTAGCATTTAACATGGTGCAAGGCACTACACGGAGTTATCCCCCTTTGAGCAGATGGGAAAAAAACCTTCTGATCTTGATTATGATGCACCACACAATTACAGTTGTAACTTACCGAAGTTTCCAAGTGTAGCAGTGGCACCGACAGCTGAGGTGTAGCAGTCCTCAATACCAGCCATATGCAACAGCTTCTTAGGTACAGGAGCACTAACAATGCCAGTACCTCTGGGGGCAGGGATCAAACGCACTCGGCTGCTACCACACTTGCCGTACACCTACAACAAAATAATGACAAATGTTAAAGAATATTTGACAAAGACATCACATTGATATTACAGGATGAAGTATAATTGCGGTTCCTTTTTACATCTGGCAGTAACTGCTTATGGGACAAAGTACAGTAGGACATATCAGCATCCCAGTAAATGTTTATTACCAAACCTCTATTTGTTTTGCTTAATTATTGATCAAGAATTTGAAGTGTGCTGACATATTTCCTCAAAGGATTGGGCGTATATTTCGTTGAGACATTCTTTACCCAGGCATTTAATTGCAATGATAATAATGGGGAGAATTATGTGCATAAAAACTAACTGGTGTTTAATGAAGCATAAATGGCACATCACATCTGTATCTACCAACCTTGCAAGGGACAGTGTGTGGTTTTCCGATCTTGTTACCCCAGTATCCTCGTCGGACAGGAATGACCGAGAGTTTGGCCAGGATGATGGCACCACGGATAGCAGTGGCTACTTCCTTGGAGCACTTCACTCCCAGACCAATGTGGCCATTGAAGTCGCCAACAGCGACAAAGGCCTGTAAACATCAAGTATATATTGTAAACAAAATTACTCACAAAACAACATAAGCTAGACTTTATCAGAAAACATTGTGGTAGTCAACTGCTCACTAAATCAGCAAATGGTCACTGTGTTAATACCATTAAACATTGATGAATAGACAGAATGAGTCAAACTAATCCATATTTCCAACTTGTTTTTAATATATTGCAAGTAAAGATTTGGGGAAAACGCATGATTTCTATTAGTCTCTTGTGGCACTGCCCTTGAAATAACTAATTCTAATTCATGTCAATCACTCAACTGAGCTTCATTTACAACTGATGCAAAGGGATACCACTTTGTGTCAAATGTTACAACCCACATTCTAGCTAATCATGTTAATGTCTTGTCGTTTGTTGTTTAATGCAACACTCGGCAATATCCCAGCTATATGATGACGGTCTGAAAATAATCAAATCTTGGCCAGACAATCCAGTGACATGAAATGTGCATTGATCCACCCAACTGGGATACGTAATCATGCATCAACCAAGTCAGTGAACCTGACCACCGAATCCCGTTAGTCGCCTCTTACAACAAGCATGGTCTCCTTTTCCGGCAAGCATGGGTTGCAGTAGACATTCTATCCTGGATCTTCACGAGTTTATTGTCTTGTCAGTTTCATCAACAAGTTGTAGGTTACAACTCAAATATAGCCACTGCAGCAACAGGGGCACTGGTATTATACACCTAATTTTACATGTATTTGTGAAACATCAGTAGATAATGCCAACCTTGAATCTGGTTCTCTGTCCAGCTCTGGTCTGTTTCTGGACAGGCATAATTTTCAGAACTTCGTCCTTCAGGGTTCCAGGTGGCAGGAAATAGTCAATGATTTCAAACTCCTGCAAGACAAGATCACATATTACAACATTGGTACTTTACATCTTCTTGACATGACAAAATATTATCACTGTAAAGATGTCAGGACACGTCACTATTAATCTGCACAATACAATATTTTCTAATGTTTCAACCATTTTTCTCAAAGGTTCAATAACTAAAGATCACCTTTAAAAGTCAATGTTCTACTTTTAATCGTATTAACCATGTTTATCTATAGTGTATGCAGGGGTAGAAACTAACCGTTTTAGTCCACTAGTCCTTACAATGATAACATATGGCAAAACCCATAAAAATGGCAAATTTCTACTAGTCCTCATGATACCTTAACTATTGGGCAGTTTGGCAAGGACTATATGACTAGTGTCAATTTCTAACGCTGGTATGCAATCAGTTTGGGTATAATCATAAGCTAGTGTGCTTGTGAGTTGGGTTAAACACTGATCTGATCAATATTTTTTCCAGGATGTAGGATGTCTAAAAGATGGGTCTATCACTTAGGTGAAACACAGGAACATGGTATGCTGCATTGTTTCGTATACAAGTGTTTGGGTGTTGTGCCATATGAAGCAAACATCTGTTACTTGAGCATAGTATTTCAATTTATCCATTAGGTTTCTTCTAAACTTGGTTACACAAACATTGTTTGTTGTCTAACGCAGCACTCGGCAATATTAGAGCCATATGACAATCCAGTGACATGATCATCGATCTACACAATTGGGATATGACAAGCATCAACCAAGTCCGGGTTCCTGAAGACCAATTCTAACCCACATTTTCACATGTTGCACAATTTCAAACCAGGCTCATTCGGAAAATGTTTGTTTTAACGTTTGGTTCATTTTTTTGTCATGCTTCTGAGGAGAAATGTCAAGCATGACCCCTGTAATCTGAAAAAAATGTGTTGGAATATTCTTATGTACTCAAGAACTTAATTTGCAAAATATTAACCTTGATAGGCAGAGAGAAAAGGTAGATCTCCTCAAGGCTCTTGATCTTGACATCTTTTACGAGACGGCCCAGTTTGGTGACGGGGATCCAGTCCTTCTCTTCTTTAGCTCCACGACCACGGCCTCTTCCTCTGCCGCGACCGCGTCCACGTCCGCGGCCTCTGCCGCCGAACCCACCACGAAATCCTCCTCTACCACCGGCTGGGGCTGCGTCCGCCATTGCTGAAAATTTCAGGTATAATACGAATAAATATACAGAAGGATACTGGACAAATGCTTATATAATAACTAAAAATAATGTCCGAAGTGTCATGTTTATTGGTTATACAACGTATATACATAGTCATAACGACTAATTATCTTATGATTGTATGGAAATTGTCGCGATTGTAAGGAGGTAAAAATAAAGCACGTCTCTCGACTTACGTGATTAATTTCTGAAAGATCTACTTCCGGGTCATTTTCTCCGACCTCGACATTGGTTTTCAGGGTACATAACTCGAGAATTCATAAGCTGAATACCACGAAAAAACTAAAACATGTTATCAAGTGTCAACTGATGAAAATGATTTTTTTACAGTATTTTTCCACAATGAATATTTGGATAGCATATAAAGGATCCATATATACATAATTCTTATGTTTTGTGCATTGAGATATGTATCCCTGTATTGTTCTGACATCAACTAAACTTTTTGTTTCATGAACAAGAACATGATAAGCATCGCCAAAACGCAATAGGGGACACATTCCGAACTCGTCGGACGCGATCGATCGTTTCATTTCGTTAAATCCGAGATACCACAGATCGGTATTACATTTCTCAATGCTGTGACGCCTCGTACTTCCGGTTTACATAGCATTAATTTCGTGGGAGGGGTAGTGTTTTTGTTTGAATACTTGGCTCACACAAGTGAAGGTGTTGTTTCCAGCGGTCTAAATGTAAGGTGGGTCATCAAGAAAACAAAAGATCCATATATCTGGAAAAAACATGGCCATTTTTAGTGTCTATGTCATCAACAAAGCCGGGAGTCTGATTTATCACTACGACCACACGTCAAACCGCCCTGAGGTCGAGAAAACCTTTAGTTTTCCTCTGGAACTGAAACTCAAAATATTTGACGAACGAGTTGTTGTGGCATTCGGAGAACGAGATGGCATTAAAGTTGGACACACGGTACTGTCTGTCAACGGAATTCAAGCGGAGGGACGTTGCTTAAAAGATGGAAGAGACATCATTGAAGTGCTAAATGACGAGAAAAAATATCCAATCAACATCAAGTTCGGACGACCAAAGCTGACATCAAATCAGCGTATAATGCTCGCCAGTATGTTTCATTCATTGTTCGCATTCGGAACACAACTTTCGCCCGAACCCAGATCATCAGGAATCGAGGTTTTAGAGACAGACACTTTTAAACTTCATTGCCATCAAACAATGACGGGCATCAAATTTGTCGTGCTAACAGATCCTAGACAGACAGCAGTAGAAATGCTGCTGAAGAAGTTGTATGAGATTTACGCTGACTTTGCTTTGAAGAACCCGTTTTATTCTTTAGACATGCCTATCAGATGTGAACTGTTTGATGACAACCTTAAAGGTGCCCTCGAACAAGCTGAGCGACTTGGAATCAGCAACATATGATATTATTGAACAATTGATTTGTGAAATATGTTGCATATGTATGACATGTGTCTGTATTATGTGCACTGATTATGTTGGTTCAGTGTTACTATGTTATAAAGCTTAGCTGTTGCAAGTGTTCACTAAAAATATGAAGATTTATTGTTTGTTTGTGTTGCATGTGTGGTTTGCATGGGAGAATACAGAAAAGGTGTGAAGTAAGTTGTTTGAATAATAATAAATCACATATTGTCCAACTGACGATAGACAGACAGATGGCATTAAGATCTGCATAAAATGACTGAGACTGTATAGTGGGGGAATAATATTGTTTGATCTTTATGGTTTATATTGCCTCTGCAATATTCCACCTATTTGACAGCCTGCTATGTCAGTGTTTTAATAAATATTTCTATTAATTTTCAATTTCTTACAAACACTTTTGAAAATATCAAGTTTCATAAAAAAACATAATATCACCATTAACGTTTTCAAACCATTTTCACCATTACCTTGAAACGTTCAATCTGCCTTGACCGACATCCCATTCTATGTTATTTGTACGTTGTGTTCTGTCTGTTTATGAGGTTCTAATTTGGATAATTGGTCGGCTCTTGTGTTGGTTTTGGTGCAGCTGGTGGTACTTGTATAATGATAAACGTATATCATATATCGTCCCATAGTTAATAACAATCCTATACTTTATTTGTATTTCATATACGAAAAATAAACAAATTGGTGATGATAACGTCACCATGACTAACGTTCTACTAATTAATCCACAATGCAGAATCATTAGAGGAGAGGCAGAAGGGTAGTGGCTCAGCACTGACCAACACGGACCAGCACGTACTAACACGGACCAGCACATACCAGTATGGACTAACACGGACAAGCACCGACCAACACGGACCAGAACTGATCGTGATCATGCATGAAGACTCCATTGCACTTCGCATATACATGCATTATATCAAGTATTTTGTTTGCCGCACTCAGCAATATTCCAGCTATATAGCGTCGGTCTGTAAATAATCAAATCTGGACCAGATAATCCAGTGATTAACAACATGAGCATTGATCCAGGCAATTGGGATACAATGGCATGTTGACCAACTCACCAATCCTGACCACCTAAACGATAATTCCAATCAGGGTGAGCGAATATTGTCATATTGTTTCATTGTACATAGCACTTTGAGCATGTTTTAGGGTCTGGATTTGGTGCATTGTAAACATGCACATTACTATTATTATTATTATTATTATCTGTGGTATCACAAACTTTGCTGCTACTAGTGATAGGCCTGTTCTGTCCGTAAGGGTGCTGTCTCATCAGGAAACAGGAGGATTTGCTGATAAGCTTTTATTATACCTAGAAAATGATTTAATATTAATATTATGCTATTGACTTAAGCTGTGTTGCCAGTTTGCAAAGGTCTTTAAAATATTTGCTCATCATTTAATGTGTCGAACCAATGACAGATAAGGAACAAACTCAAATAAAGCAGTTAAGCCCAAAGAATGTAGTAGTACAGTTTATTTTGGTACGGAAGGCCACAGGCAATGGGACATACTATGTTTGGGAATGGTTGGATTATGCAATTTTTATTTAACAGTTCTTATAACTTGGACTGGTGAATGATATTTGTAGACTGAAATATTTTTGACTACAAATATTGTACAGAGAATACACAGTATGTATATTTATGCAGAGTTAGGTTTTCATACCATTTGCATGTAAAGTATTTTCTTCTCAGACATTTATATGTTCTGCAGACTAGTACAAAGTGAAAATCACCTTCTATAACAATTAAGTCACGTTATGTACACAATCTCATTTCTCTGGGTATATTTGCTTTCCCTGTTTAATCATTAAGCTATGTGCAACTTTAAACTTTTTTAGATTTCTATCAAAGATATCTTTCGGTACAGGGATTTGAAAAAGTATAAAGAGCATTTTCTTGGTGTAAGTACAATTGAAGACCATGTTTGAGAATATATATCCATAAGTCTTGGCATATGGTAGATAAAGAACTGTCATCTTTATTTAGCACTTGCCAACCTTGCAAACATAGCCAAATCCCCATTTCCACAGGGGGCCATTTCTGTCATACAACATCATCATATTTGGAGATTTCTTTTGTAATCTGTGACATGGCATTTTAAGCAGTTTTATCCAATACTTTAGTAGTCGTATACACTCAAATATGTAAAGTCATACTGGTCCACATTCCTGGTAAACCATGCCATTTGATGCAGGTTGTGTGACACAAAGAAATTTATTACATGCAAATACGTTAACCATTTCTCTTGAATAAAATTAATTAAAACTCCAATTTTCAGATCCATACAGAAGGATTGGTCTAATTAAGTATTGAATATTTTGAATAAAATTGAAATATCCTTGACACTTTGTACAATTTGTAAAATACCAAAAAAATTGTTATATGCAATCTGCTTAAAGATACTATAAAATTCAAGGAAAGGATACTGAGTCGTTGCTTTAATCATAATTATAATCAACACAAAATGTGGAATGGCACACTATAACGGAACTTCACCACAGGCAGTTTACATTTTGAGTTAGAACATTGTTTTCTATCACATGGCAAAATCATCAGCAGGTTATACAATAGACTTGCACAAGTCTATAAGGCAATAATAATAAGTTTAAATCATATTTTCTAGATTATATAAATAAGAACAAGTTGTGCCTATTAGAGACTGGCATCATGTCGGTTCATCTAGACTTACCTATTTAGAGGATAGTATTCCTTCACATCCATGGACTTTTCTGTCAGTACAGCCTTGAAGCAAGGCTAGGTATACACGTGATTGTGTTCATATTGCCAGTGAGGGTGCTAGTTAACCGATCCCATGGCCAGGCTCCTGTCTTACTGCCTTAATTTGAGTAGGTATATCCTGCAACGACAGGGAGTCACTGGGATGTTAGATACTGGTATTTACTGGTGAAGATCCGGGGTAGAATAGGTCTTCAGCAACCCATGCTTGCCGTAATAGGTCGGGTGGTCAGGCTGGCCGACTTCGTTGATGCATGTCATCATATCCCAATTGCATGGATTGATGCTCATGATGTCAATCACAGACTCGATTATTTACAGGCCGCCGTCATATAGCTGGAATATTGCTGAATGCCGCATTAAACAACAAACATACAACAAACAAAAGATCCTTACCGGCCACTAGAATATTGCTGAGTACGGGGTTAACCATTGTTAAACAACAAGTAATAAACAATACCAACACGTCCACAAATTTCGGCTGACCTGTATTTATCCTGTATCCAAAGTGAACCATAGTTACTTTGATAGTAGCATCCATGACATGACTGTACGTTACATGAGATGATGTTATTCGATCAACGTGACTAGAAACTGTCACGTCGTCTCACACTCCATGCCAGTGTTCTGTAACTTCAGGCAGTACTTGATGTCATTGCTTATTTTACCATCTGTGTGTTGACAGATACGTGTTGCCATCGAAAGGAGGATTGTTCGTGTCTGATGTAATATCACTGGAAAAGCTTTGTTTTAACTGTCAAACACGGGTTGAAGGTTGTTTTAATCAGAATGAGTGAGTTGGTTTAAACGCCGCTTTGAAAAGTATTGCAGTTATATCTCGGTGTGCTAGCTTATTGTGGAAGGAAAGCCCGAAGTGATCTAGGTTTCAAACGTTTTCCTCTTTGGTGAAACCCACGAGCACGGGTATGTTGCTGACAGACATGGAAACATAATCGGGGCGAACCGGGATTTCGAACACACGGTCATATGTTCCTGATGTGCCCAAGGGACACGACTCAGCACAGCAAATTGCGGCGCCTTAGACGATTGGGCCACCCGTACCCCCCATGTTTTAATCAGAACTTCAATTGTGGCAATATACTGAAATAATGAAGCTTGGGATCATGAATATTTTGGGATATGTTTATGATATTTTGTGTTCAGTCTTCACAACAAACATATCTCCAAAATATTTATGATCCCGTAACTTTTGTTGTTCAGTATATATGCGTTACCAATGACAAGAAGCATACTCTCCTGGGTCAGAAGAGGTCCCGAGAATCCGATGTTTGTTTGTTGTTTAACGCCGCACTCAGCAATATTCCAGCTTTTTGACAGCGGTCTGGAAATAATCGAACCTGGACCAAACAATCCAGCGATTGACATCATGTGCATCGATCCACGCAATTGGGATACGATGACATGCATCAACCAAGTCAGCGAGCCTGACAACAAGATCCCGTTAGTTGCCTCTTACGACAAGCATAGTGGCCTTTAACGGCAAGCATTGGACGCTGAAGACCTATTCTACCCCGGATCTGCATAGGTCTCCATACTTGTAACAGCCACTTATCAGACCTGTGTGATTGTATGTCAGCATAGCCTACAGCGTCTACCTGTGCTTGGACCAGCCTCGAACTCGTTTTGAACCCTTGTTGCTGAATACGTCATAGTACAACATTCACTCAGAAACCCAAAACAGTAGCTTGTGAAAAAAATATTAAATATATATGTCTAAAGTCATGTTTAATTTAAACGCCAAGCCTTTTTTGGAGGTAGCTTGGTATACTAGGTCTATTGCCCAACTGACCCATATATTTTTCTCAGTACAGTGCAGGACAGGTGGGGTAGCCTGGTGGTAGAGCTGTTCGCTCGTCACGCCAGGGTCCCGGGTTCGATTCCCAACAAGGCTACAACGTGTGAAACTCATTCCTGGTGCCGCCCGCTGTGATATTGCTGGAATTTAACTCATTCATTACTACAATAACTGTGATGTTGAAAATGCAATAAAAAACAAACAAAACAAAACCCGACAGAGCATGATTTAAATGCAGTATTGTCAGAATTGGCGTTGAACGGAACTCACTTCAGCTACAAGTATAGAATAGACATTTGAAGCATAGGGTATAACTGCTAATTGAGTGGAGGTGGTATTTATAGAGGTCGGCGATTTAGTTGTAAATAATAAGTGTGGAAATGTCAACAGAGGCAAATCTTGATACAGATATCATTATGCCAGTCAGACCGACTTTTGCATTAAAGGACAGATCTTACTCAGTTGCTTTTTTGGAAATTATTTCTCGATTTTAAATTTGCCAAGTTTTGTTATTGAGTAAATAACAGAGTCGTTGTCGAGGTGAAAGGGGGTTTAACGTCGCGTTCAAGTATTGCACTTATATAGCGACGTACATGCACGCATGTTTGTGAGTGTATGGCTGCTTGTACTAGTCGGGACTATTGCAAATTTTATAGTGCAAGCCCACTAATACCTTTTACGACAAGCATGGGTTGCTGAAGACTCAATCTCATTCAAATCAGATCTTAGTTCTCGCCACCGCTAACCAAAGATCTGAGGACATCCCATTACGGGTCCCGTCAGAACGACCTTTCCCGAACATTGACCGACCAATGAAATGACTGACAAGAAATCGACATTTGCCAATCAGAAGGCAGCTTTCTCGAGCTTTACGGCACTAGTTTCAAACTGGCGACTACGCTTCGAAACATATTTTTAAAACTGACCAAAACAACATTCTGGAATGGATTATAGATGGCATAGATTGTATGGATATAATCATAAAACCCGTAACCGTCGTTCGGAATACCCTCTGTTAAATATTTCGAGGTTGCATGACTAGAAAACACATTCCGACTGTCACTTTCAGGATCTGGTAAGCGACGCTCTGATTGGTTGGATGAAAGGTCGTGCTGACGTGACCCGTAATGGGATGTCCTCAGATCTTTGTTTAGCGGTAGCGAGAACTAAGATCTGATTGTAATGAGATTGCTGAAGACTTGTTCTAACCCGGATCTTTACGGGTATGACAGCCACTTTACAAGGGGAATAATATACATTTCAACCCTCTTCACCTGTGCCAGGTACACACCATACATGACAGACCCCATACAACCACACAGTCGTGTCAATGTTGAGCAGTGAAGAATACGCCCGCGACGACGTAAGTGAGTGAGTGAGTGAGTGAATGTTGCGTTTGCCAGCAATATACCTGCTACACCAAGACCGGAAATATATAATCGAGTCTGGACCATGCAAACCAGTGACTGATAGACTGAGCAATTATCCAGGCATTTGGGTCACGGTGACCTGCAATCAAGTCACAGAGCCTGACCACCCGATCCTCGGGGGACCAATTCCATCCCTTAATCCCCCAAACATTCCAGATTGGAAGTAAAAAGTAACCAACAGAAAATGGAAATATCCACTGGGAAGCAGATAAAAGCTCCTGGTTGTATTGTTCTTTGTGTCACGTCATTCTGATGTGGTAGCCGTAAAACTCGACGCCAAGCTGTGGAAACAATTACTGCCTAATTGTCTCACTTATACCACTTTTATACCTAATTAAATAATCATGTAACTCATATGGAATTCCACAAATGCACACAGATCGTTGTCGTACAAACGTGGCTGCACACAACTGCACCAAGGCAGACCTAGCATTTCGCCCTGGCAAGAAGGCAAGGATACGATGACCAACTACTTGGATCTCGGGGCGCTCGTATTAGACAATGGGTCCGGTATGTGCAAGGCCGGGTTTGCAGGGGATGACGCCCCACGGGCCGTGTTTGCTTCTGTTGTTGGGAGACCCAGACATAAGGTAATGATTGTGTGAAGGATGTGTTCATATAACTACGTTAATACGCGTACATTCATTCATATACCTATTTATATGAATGATGCCCTGTTCCTAAAGCGAGTGAGTGATTTGGGTCTAACGCCGCTTTGAACAGTATTCCAGTTATATCACGGCGTGACAACTTAATGTGGGAGGAAAGCCAAAAGTGATGCAGGTCTCAGACGTTTAGCACTTTGGTGAAACCTACAAGCACGGGTATGGTGCTGACAAACCTAGAAACATAATCGGGGCGAGCCTGGATTCGAACCCACAATTATAGGTCGATCAAGGAACGCACCTCTGCTCAGTAAATTGCGGCGCCTAAGACGACCGGGCCATCCGTGTCCTTCTGTTCTTAAATGTTTTGTTTAATTTGGTACATTTCCTGAACTAAATCAAGAAGTTTCTTGTACCACTTAACTGGGATAATCTGTTGTTATGAACGGATATAGGTTTATTATAGACGATAATTGGATCAAGTTGCACAACGAAACAATTGCGCCCCATTTGATTAAAGTGAGTGAGTGAGTGAGTGAGTATGGTTTTACGCCGCTTTTAGCAATATTCCAGCAATATCACGGCGGGGGACACCAGAAATGGGCTTCACACATTGTACCCATGTCGGGAATCGAACCCGGGTCTTCGGCGTGGCGAGCTAACGCTTTAACCACTAGGCTACCCGACCGCCCCCCATTTGATTAAACTGTATGTCAGTCAAACGCTTTCCAAATGATGGATGTCCCTCGGCGCAAAAATCAATTTTAGACATAAGTAATCCGTCCTTAACGTTTAATGCAGTTTCATTGTACTTTCACAAATAAACTTTGTCTTGTGCTATAATTTTTCATTATGTAAAAGCTTTTGAAATAATGATATCTTGTTACATTAATATCAATAAATATTTTGGTGTTCTGAAAAACAGTTCCACAAAGGGATTAAAATGAAGCCTTTGTCCTTTTTGGTTCACTTCAGATCCGCCGGGAGTCCCTTGTTTGGTTGTTTGTTGTTCAACGCAGCAATCAGCAATATTCCAGCTATATGACGGCGGTCTGTAAATAATCGAGTCTGGATCAGACAATCCAGTGATTGACATCATGAGCATTGATCCACGCAGTTGGGATACGATGACATGCATCAACCAAGTCAGCGAGCCTGACCACCCGATCCCGGTAGTCGCCTCTTACGACAAGCTTAGTCACCTTTACGGCAAGAATGTGTGGCTGAAGATCTATTCTATCCTGGATCATCTTGAGTTTAATGACTTATTATACCCCGCCGGGAGTCCCTTGTGTCAAAGTTGAAATTGTATGATTAATATGGTGGTGTATGTTGTTTATACCGCATTCCGCAATTGTTCAGCTATATGACATCGGTCTGTAAATAAAGCCGCCCTTGACCAGAAAAACCCGTGCTTGATATTATGAGCAACATCCCTACTACGTCGCGTAATAGTTAAGTCGCCGAGGGGGACCACCTGTTCCTTTTAGTCGTCTCTTAGAACAACCATATATATTGTTAGGCACCTCAAGCCCGAATTCAAAGGGGTTAGTTGTATGACTGCATGGTGTTTGTGGAACATTGATATTTCAATGATTGTATCTTTACTTCAGGGCGTTATGGTGGGGATGGGTCAAAGAGACTGCTATGTGGGTGACGAGGCTCAGTCCAAACGTGGAATCCTCACTCTGAAGTACCCCATAGAGCACGGCATCGTCACCAACTGGGACGACATGGAGAAGATCTGGCACCACACCTTTTACAACGAGCTGCGAGTGGCGCCCGAGCAACACCCAATCCTAGTAACCGAGGCACCACTCAATCCAAAAGCCAATCGGGAAAAGATGGCACAGATAATGTTCGAAGGCTTTAGCATCCCCGCCTTCTTTGTATCAGTCCAGGCCGTTCTGTCCTTGTATGCTTCTGGTAGAACCACGGGCATTGTCCTGGATTCCGGGGACGGTGTGACCCATGCGGTGCCAATATACGAGGGGTACTCAATGCCTCACGCCATATTGAGGATTGATCTAGCGGGAAGGGACCTCACAGACTACCTTGTAAAGATCTTGTCAGAGCGAGGGTATTCCTTCACCACAACTGCCGAGCGAGAGATCGTTCGCGATATAAAGGAAAGATTATGTTTCGTTACCAATGACTTTGATAGAGACTTTAAAACGTGTACGTCAAGCTCAGATATGGAAAGGACCTACGAGTTGCCGGACGGCCAGGTTATCCGTATTGACAACGAGAGGTTCAGATGCCCCGAACCGCTCTTTCAGCCAGCCTTGATTGGGATGGAGACACCCGGTGTTCATGAGTATATCTATAACTCAATTCAGAAATGTGACGTTGATATCAGGAAGGATCTCTACTGCAACATAGTAATTTCAGGGGGCTCGACTATGTTCCCGGGGATCACTTCCAGGATCACGCGAGAGGTCGCCGAGCTGGCCCCACCAGTCATCAGGGTCAAGGTCATTGCTCAGCCGGAACGGAAGTACGCTGTTTGGATCGGGGGTTCAATCCTTGCATCGTTGTCCACCTTCCAACAAATGTGGATCAGCAAGCAGGATTACATCGACTGCGGACCAAATATAATTCATAGGAAATGTTTTTGAAGAATCTGTGTTGACACACTATAGCTTCCGTAGTACATATGTTAGAATTATTTATAAATGTTGGCTAATTATGTCCCGCCCATACACGTGGCTACTCAATTCTTAGATTGTATTGGAGTCCGCTGTCTTCTGTGTTATGGGCGGTGGGGTAGCCTAGTGGTTAGAGCGTTCGCTCGTCACGCCAAGGACCCGGGTTCGATTCCCAAATGGGGTACAATGTGTGAAGCCCATTTCGGGTGTTCCCTGTCGTGATATTGCTGGAATTTTGCTAAAAGCGGCGTAGAACATCACTCACTCATTCACTCTCCTGTGTTGTGGTAACCAAGTGCAAGGTTTAAGAGTATGCGTCATGCCGAATGGGACGACTGCGTGCGTGGCCCGACTTCTCACATTGGCGTTAGTTTCATTGTGTAAAGACCCTGCCTGGAGGATACCTTGCTGTGATAGTCGTATTCTGCAAAAGCGGCGGTACTCCAATTTTCCTCTTTACTACTTACACGTAAAGTAAGCGTGACAATGACCATTTGGCAGATTAAATGTAAGTCAACAGTTTGTTAGTATAGACATAGTGTTAGGTAAAGAGCTTCTGATTGAGTTGATATGACGACAGTATCATGCTAAATGAAACTGACTGATGAAGACAGGATCAAAGAGCTCGAGCTCGGCGTCTTGATAAGGCATCGACATGCTGTGATGGAGATTCAAGCCACCCACTCACTCGTTTGTTTGTTTGTTTATTTGTTGTTTAACGCCGCACTCAGCAATATTCCAGCTATATGACGGCGGTCTGGAAGTAGTCGAGTCTGAACCAGACACTCCAGTGATTGACATCATAAGCTTCGATCCACGCAATTGGGATACGATGACATGCATCAACCAAGTCAGGAAACCTGACCACCCGATCCCGTTAGTCGCCTCTTACAACAAGCATGGGGTGAGGAGAACCTATTTTCTACCCGGATCTTCACGAGTCCACTCAGACGTAAACCTCGCTCGTATTTAACAAAGCTGAACATGAATGGTGATGAAGTTTGGTTATTATCAAGGTACCATGTATATTATATCAGGCCTTCTATTGATACTGGCATCATGTCATATTGAAACATATTCCTCCCTTGATTATGCAGCTTATTACACATCCATTCTATTATCTGAGAATAGAGACATAAGACAGTGGACAGTACATATGTACACAAACATGCTTTTTCTACTGAAATAAAAAGATGTCAACTACACCACTGTTCTTTGAATTTGTAAAGAAAGTGAATATTAAGGACCCAATGGATGATAATTCCAATGGAGCATGCAGAAGGTTGATCCAGGGTGAGATTTTAAACAGTGAGTGAGTTGGGTTTAACGCCGCTTTTAACAGTATTACAGTTATATCACGGCGTGTCAGCTTAATGTGGGAGGAAAGCCCGAAGTAATGCAGGTCTCAGACGTTTACCACTTCGGTGTAACCCACGAGCACGGGTATGATGCTGACAAACCTAGAAACATAATCGGGCGAGCCGGGATTCGAACCCACAATCATAGGTTTCTGGTGTGCCCAAGGGACGCAACTCTGCACAGCGAATCGCGGCGCCTTAGACGACTGGGCCACCCGTGCCCCCAGATTTTAAACAGACATGCAGGTGATAGTTATGTTAACACAGATATAATTCTTACACTAGTGATACAATTATTGTCTTGAAGATGTGTCCACATTAGAAAAGAAGTGGGCCGCTCTAAGGCCCACACATGCACGTGTACATAGGGTAAGTTTGTTTGTTTGTTGTTTTACGCCACCCTCAGCAATATTTCCAGCTATTTATATGATGGTGGTCTGTAAATAATCGAGTCTGGATCAGACAATTCAGTGATTGACATCGTAGGTATTGATCTACGCAATTGGGATACGATGACATGCATCAACCAAGTCAGCGAGCCTGACCACCCGGTGCCGTTAGTCGTCTCGTACGACAAGCATAGTCACCTTTTACGGCAAGAATGGGTTGCTGAAGTCCTACTCTAACCCGGATCTTCACGGGTTTTACATGGAGTAAAAACCGCCGTATACTAGACTGCATGTGCATATCTGACATCTGTGTATTTAATCTCCTTCAGTTGTAAAACACTTTCTGTACCAGACACGGCCACACCTGCATATACATGATACAGGTATATAGGTCTCCAAAAAGGGTCGTCTTCGGATGGCAACGCGTTTCAAATGATGTCACCAGTCATCATTCACGAAGCTGAAGCACCACCCTACACCCCGTTCAACTTCCCATGTATCACTTTTCCCCGTGCCTCTTGGGGATTCCGGAATAAGATCAGTTCCCACAAATCTGTATTTTTCGTAAGGGTCGTCTTTCGACTATCATGGCATTGTATCCCAATGGCGTGGATCGCTGTTGATGCATGTTTCAATCACTGGTTGTTTTCATTGTCTTGACTCGAATAAAGAACTTGAATATTGCTGAATATGGCCCTGAACGATATTCACCTTTCTTGATTCAATAAACCATACGAACGTTCGTCACAGCTCGCCTGTACCCGGAAGCAGCAAGTTCATGCATGAAGACGCCAAGCTTATTTACTGGTATATATGCAGTGGCACTAGGCTAGTAATTGAGGTCAGTTTAGAATCACCAGGTGACTTTTGCTATTTTTTCATGGACGACGATGACTCCATCGGAATGAATTGAAGTTTATTGTGGTTATGATCAGTATGGAGCCATGGCCCAGTCGTCGAAGTCGCCGCAATTCGCTTTGCGGAGTTGCGTCCCTTAGGCACGCCAGAAATATTACGATTTCTGCGGGTTCAAATCCCGGTTCGCCCCGTTTCTAGGTTTGTCAGCACCATACCCGTGCTCGTGGGTAAAGTGGTAAACGTCTGAGACCTGCATCACTTCGGGCTTTCCTCCCACATTAACCTGACACACCGTGATAAAACCGGAATAGTGTTCAAAGCGGCGTTAAGCTAAACTCACTCACCATAATCATTATGGTATAATTTCTTATATTTCAATATATATTTATACATGTTGTTTTTAATATAATTCAATAAATAAAGTAATAAATAAATCCTCATGTTTGTTTACATTCCACTGAAAGTGAAAGTAGGGTGACGTCAGTTTACGTTTATGACGGAAGCAACTTCCAAAAGAAACCAACCTTTGAGTTTAAATATCCTGATGTTATACAGAGGCGCATTCTGAGTTCATACGCTGCACAACAGGCGCGAAACCCGGAAACGTTACACATTCCTGTCAACACTGGAGTACGTCCTTGCTGTAGAAACCTGCCTTGGATTCAACTTCCCTGCCACGGGTGAGATTTTAAACACACATGATGATTAGATGGTTTTATTGACACCATGCTTTGATGTTGTTCTTACACGTGCACGCAAGTCTTTCGTCTGGGTCGACATGCATTCATATTTGACGAGAACTGGACGTCGCCATATATGTCATTGTGCCCGTCAGACAATTAGTCTTTGCCATTCAACATCCGCCATATATACTATATCCGCAATAACGGCTGTATCTTTATATCAGTAGTTTGGTTTGGTTTGTTTGTTGTTTAACGCCGCACTCAGCAATATTCCAGCTATATGACGGCGGTCTATAAAATAATCGAGACAATCCAGTGATTGATATCATGAGCATCGGTCCACGCAATTGGGATCGATGACATGCATCAACAAAGTCAGTGAGCCTGACCACCCGATCCCGTTAGTCACCTCTTACGACAAGCATAGTCGTCTTTTACGGCAAGCATGTGTGGCTGAAGACCAATTCTACCCCGGATCTTCACGGGTCCTTTATATCAATAATGCTACCACAAAAATGGTGATTCCTGAGTGGATGTATGTGTGCCGCACTTATTATGATATTACACATTTATATACCGCACGTATCCAGACATCTCTGCTCGAATGCTGTTTCTATGTTTGTTCACCGATCAGCGGATCCGCATGCATTCCAGTTATCATTCTCAGCTCCCTGGGAAGTATACAACCCATGCTGCCTACAGCCGCTAGAAGGTTTTTGCATCCCATATCGGGTACATATTTCCTGCAGGGGACCCGTGAAGATCTGGGTTAGAATAGGTCTTCAGCAACCCATACCTGATGTTACAGGTGACTATGCTTGTCGTACGAGGCGACTAACGGGATTTGGTGGTCAGGCTCGCTGACTTGGTTGATGCATGTCTTCGCATCCCAATTGCGTGGATCGATGCACATGATGCCAATCACTGGATTGTCTGGCCCAGTCTCGATTAATGACAGACCTCTGTCATATAGCTGGAATATTGCTGAGTTGAACAACAAACAACACAAATCCTGCAGGGTGAACAAAGGCACATTTGTATTACGTCGCTTGCCTAGGGTGGCATAGATACCATATACCGATATATGGTCTCTGGGTGGCACACGTTTTGACACTTGTATTTTGGGTGTATGTATTTATTCTTGTTTCCACCATCTGCTCATCTACCAACAGATGAGTGGGTTCTTTCGAATATGCCACCCCGACACGTTTCAAATGTTTTGGTTCCCCTCTGTCACGATGTGCACTATGAGGTCATGCCGTAACGTATCACACTTCAGTCGCCTCTTCCGGCGAGCGGAAGCATGGGAAGGTCGGTGGTGAAATCTCCGTCATACCAAAACACGTTGAAAGATGGTACTTGTTGTTACCCCGTCTGGCGCTCGGCAATGAGGAGATATATCAAGGACTGTTCGGCTTGAAGTCAGTCTACTGTGCCAGATTCGGATTGGTTAGGCTACTGCGGCATGGTGAGCTAAAACCGGCATTATAGTCAGGACAAGTACAAGTACCCCCCCCCCCCCCCCCCCCCCCCCCCCCCCACACACACACACACACACACCCTCCCCAGCACCAGCACCACCATACACACATACACTCACAACACGTCGCTATATAAATGCAATGATCTTGAATGCGACATTAACATGACTGATTAAACCCCATTCCACATCGGTCGGGTCTTAATTACAAAATGCCCAGTGCATTGGCGACCTATAGCGCCTGACTGATTTCATTGCCGCTCCAAATTAAATGATTGAAAACAATTATATTTTTCATCCAGATCGATTGAACCACACACATACCCTATTTCATGTAGAACTGCTCAATTTGGACGGAAATAAAAAAAAACCCATGGCTGTAAATTAACCTAGGCTATTATACAATTATAATGCACGATGCGTATTAATTACGACTTCAGCAACCCATGCTTGACGCAAGAGGTGGCTAAGGGGATCGGGTGTTCAGGCTCACTGACATGGTTGATGCATGTCATCTTATCCCCATTGTGTAGTGATGCTCATGATGTTAGTCATCGGATTGTCTGGTCCAGACTCGATTATTGACAGACCGCCGTCATAGAGACAGGATTTTGCTAATCAAACAAACAAACAAAACATGATCGAACTAAAGAAAATTCAGTTTTTATTTTAGTTTTGTCATTAGGGATTGGTCATCTGTCACAGGGGAGAAGATTGGGGTTGTGGGGGTGCGGTGAGATTCAAGGGGTTGTCATGAGAAAAAAATGTCAGTTATATTTTTTACAAAAAATGCATGGCATAGGAAATCTCACCGCACCCCCTCCCCAGTAATAAATGACCAGTCCCTTAGTCCGTTTAGTTAGAAACATCCATGGCGTGATCCGTTTCTCTGACGTGGAGCCTGCCATTCCATTATCATTTTTGGTTTGTGTGTATGTTTGATTGTGGTCTACAGTACTGTACAGTATGGAATCATAATGAGGTTCCTGCGCTAATTAATCTCATTAAAATAACACTCCTACATAATATCAGCTAGCAATTTAGCACAAAGCAAATGACAATAATAACAACGGGGATTTATCATTGTAAACCAGTTACCGGCTGATGCAACTGTGAAACACACGAGAAACGATTGGAGTTTTAAACAACAGTTGTCTTCCCATTACTATCGAATCTTGTCTCGTGCCATCCCGTGGATTCTCGCCCTTGCCGAGATGAATGAAATTTGTTTTCTTTTTGCTAGACACCGTACTAGCACAGGTTGAGCAGTTGTATTAGCGCCGGAAGGGTAATTTGATTCCCCAAGCAAGGCAGTACCGTAATAATCAGAGCTCTAGCTGCATGTCAAACGAATAAGAAGATTGCAACTGCAGTCAATCGAGTAGAATGTTTGCTACCGTGCATATGATCAGAGCTCAACGATCTTCATTTTGACAGCTGCACCTTCGATAACAACAAAGTTCATATCTGAGGTAATGCTAACTTGATTTGTCTTGGGTTTCACCGTCTTACTCTGAAATGCCAACAATTCACTGTAGTGTGCCATGCTTCATGCAGAACGTGGGAACAATTGGTTATGGCTGTCTGCATAGTAGTGTTTATGGTGAGGGTAGGCTAGTTCACAGCATGATGAATTATTACAAATTCCATCAGTGATCATGTTCCATGCTGGATGAACTATTAAAGCTTTGTTAGAGGGAGGTATACAATCAATTGCACTTACATAACTGATTATCAATTTCCCCAAGGATCTTTCTACTAAAATTAAGACAACCATGATAACATAATTGCTGAAACGTACTGATCTATTTATTTGAGGTTTGCATGAAACTTTACTATTTTGAAAATGAAACAGTGTCAGTATGACACAGTGTCAGCCTGAATATAATAGTGTTAGCATGTACCTCCTAGATCGATAGCATATGAGGCAGGTTAGGTTTAATAATTTGGTTGTCTGGGACATTGACTGATCGTCAATCTAAATGTTCTGAAGATTTATTTCCGAATTTTTTAAGGATGTAGAAAAATGTCCTATCAGTAGTTAAACATGCAAATGTCCTCATGCCGTTTGTCTCATGCAAAATCATTATGTGGATTTCGTTAGCTTGAAGGGGTACTGGTCAGAACGGAATCTGTGCCAATACTGACTAGCCTATATGGTCAAAATGCTCGAATCAGACCAGTGAAATATCAGAAAAAGACCAAGATTTGTTTCTTAATTAAGTCTTTGTAGTCATCTTTCATTGAGTAGACTATTGTATATCATCAACGTATTGGTCAGTCTGTTGAAACATGGCAAATATTATGATAAATAAACATGTGTAAGGTTTATTTTACACTCTCAACTGGATAAGACATTATCAGTTAGGGTGGCCTCTTGCCCACGCGGCAATTCAATTCCCATAACTCTGTGTAGAAATTCAGTTTGGTCTGTTTTTAATTTTTTTTCCCCTTTTTGTTATCAAAAAAGTATTAACTTGCATGAAGAAAGACAAAAATAGTAACATACATTCATAATGTTTGTATTAATGTACTTTTGAAAAAAAATTAACAGTAATCTTGACTTAGAAAGGGAAAATGTTAAAAAAAATGATGCAAAACAGTAGGGTAATTTCAATTGGCAACTGCAAACTTCATGTGATGAATTTTGTAATAAAACTTATATCATTAGAATCACAAATGCATAAGGAATACTATACTGATTATGTTCATTCAGCATGTTATGTGTTAAATTCTTCATTAACATGATTAAGAAAATTGTGAACATAATGAATGCTTATGAACTTCATTACAATTTGGTGAACCAGAATTAACTGCAACAACTCTTTATCATATTTGTAACTTGAAAACATACTGATAATCTTGTTATTTTGCTGGATGTGACCACAAAATTTAATTATAGAATGCACATTTGATATGATGCACATTCAAGAACAAGAATTGGTATCTAGTACTTTTTGTTCAAGCAATTAGTAATGCTACAGATGATTAATGAGGTTCTTTGTGCTAATTTTATATTTTCAGAATCCTTTTTATGAAGACTTTGTATAATATATAACAACACATGATCTGTAAATATTTGGTCTGTTTTGACAAGGAAAATGGGGCGTTTTGACCAACTTAATTGGTCTGTTTTGACAGGTCTGTGCTCAAAGGATATCTACATTCGCCAAACACTTTTGATCTGTTGGTTGTTAATTTGAGCCTTATTCCAGGAAGTACTCGGGTTCTTACAAGTGTCACATTGGTTAAAAATGATAGTTCCCATTAATGTGGTATCCTACATAACACACCTATTTCACAATAAACCTGACATGCCATGAACAAAAGGGGAGTTTTCTTTCTTGAAAAGATGAGTGAGTTAATCATGTTACCAGTATTAGAAATTGGCACTAGTCCTGTAGTCCTTGCCAAACCGCCACTAGTTAAGGTATCATAAGAACTAGAAGAAATATGCTATTTTTAAGGATTTTGCTGTATGTTATCATTAGAACATGTATAAGGACTAGTGGACTAAAACTGTTAGTTTCTGCTGCTGTGTTGATGTTGATCATGATAATGGTATCTTGTCATCACTGTATATGGTAATGAAACATTTACTTCCTCGTAAATGCCAGAGGTTTTTAACTTGTTATCATGGTTGTAGAGGATCTACTTGACACTCTATGCAAGGATGGTTGACATGGTTTAAATGTTTAGCAGCAAATTAGCCTTTTGTCTGCTGGATTCTGATCAGTCATGTCCCTGCTAGTGTTTCAGGACTTGAGACTGCTTGTTTCAAATTTATGCCCAGATGCTATAAAATGCTCAGTCTTTGATTTCCTTCCAACTCGTTTAAACTTTAATAGTAATTTACTTCCATTTGGAGACTATAAAATTGCTCTGATTTTTTCAACAAATCATCGTTTGAATGAATTTGAAATTTCAGTTAGCACAAGAAAGTGTGTCTAAACTAAAGAAATCATAATTTACTTCTTAAGAAATACGTCCAAATTAGATCCACTTTTCATTATGTGTTCATAGATAATGGAGAAATTGAAATCATTGAGTACAAATATCCATGTACCGTTATTGACTCCAAACTTTTGTGGAATGCCACGGCTGATTGTATTTACAAAAAGGGCCAGCAAACACTGTATTTTCTGCGTTGCTTTTAAAGTATTTTAACTTTCAGTTTCCATTGCTGGCATGGGGGTTGGTCTGTTTCAAACCCAAAGGCAGTTATATTATGAATAGTAACAAAGTAATTGGCTTTCTTTCACACAACATCAGCATGTGTTATAAGCAGGAAATTGTAAAAGAGGTGGAAATAATTTTAAATGACAGTTTGCTCGTATTCTTTTGGAGTATGAACTTATACCTTCTGGTCATTCGACTGCACATGCCGAAAAGATGAAAATGCAAACAAACAGAACCCATCAATCATTCGTACCAGTCGGTATTTATTTGCTCAACAATCAAACCGTGTGATGTTTTTGTGTTGATCTACCACGTTTACCCAACTTTTGATTACATTATGATTATATGCCTCACATGCTTCCCTTTAAAGACATTTACTCATTTCGTGCTTGTTAGTGCTTTGATGTCCTTTGGTCCTGGCGTCTGTGTATTTGACTTTAAAATTGAACCTGTTATTTGTTTCTCTATGCTTATACAATGTAACCCAAATTTACTTCATGATAATAAAGTATCTTATCTGATCTTATCTTTAGTCAGGGGCAGAACTACTTCCCATTAGGATTTCCAGCATTCAAAACTAAGCATCAAGTCATTGGGACCTTGTCATTACCCTAAAGTTACAATTTAGGGGACCCTTGGTTTATATACTACTGCAGAATACCTTAAGGGCACCAGGGCCACCTACATAGCAAAGACTGGATTCCTCCCATTGCTGGTCGAGATGACCTTTGAGGCACCTTGCAGAGTTATCTCCCTTTTTTTGTTCTGGCTTAAACACTTAAAGAATGTTAGGAGGAGCTATTACGCGAGGGTCGTAGTGTTTAGCAGCTGTTGAACATGTGCACATAGTCCTTAGCTGAGTGGCCACTAGCCAGTGACTTTTACTGTCTGTGAACTGGATTATTTAATGTAGCAATTACTCACTTGATTTGAGTGTTGTACATGTAAGCCTGATTACTACTCTGGCAACAATCATCCTGCCTTTGAAACTGGCACAAGTCTTATAGTCAAATTAATGGACATCAGTCAGTGCAGTCCTATGTATACATTATTGTAACTTTTTAGGATGATAAGGATTACCGTATATATTGCCGTCTATGAAGCGACCAACATGTAAAAGCCTTCAAAATCGATGCTAATTTTATGACCTGTCTATAAAGCAATTTGGAATGAAGAACATTGCCAGCGCATACACAATCTCTACATTTGAAATAAAAACATGTTTGTCTTCCACAGAAAAAAATTAGATTACATCCCTTCAGCGAATTCAGGTAAATGAACAGGTGATAACAATTAAACTTGGCCAATACAAATTGAAATTTGAGGTAAAACATCACTAGACATGATGATTTACCGTTAAAATATTATTTCCAGTTTGCTAGGCATTGTTTTATATGCAGAGATTAAGATTACCATGATTATTGTCTCGTAAACGAAGCTGGAAGCAGCAATCACCTGTACATATGTTTTCTCGGAATCTGCTGGTGATTCGGTTAAAAAATACCCAATAATATAACTTTTAAGAATTTTGATACAGTGATAGGAAGATTTGTTCGAAACTATTATTTTATCAGGAATAATATATTCCAATATCATTTTATTTTAGTAGCAACTTTACTATATATATTTGAAATATATTAATAACCTTAAGCACAGCACTTTGGTACAGCTGATCTCTATTACTGGATAGTGTATGGCCTATTGTCCATATGATATATAATTCTCTGTCCACCAACTGTCATTTCAAGGTGTCAATGGCAGTAATCTGACCGTTGTTGCTGTAAATAATTTTGAGTTGTGCAATCTACCGTCGAAATAAATATAAACAAAATTAAGTCTTTGAAAGGCATTTAGAAGTGATACACATAAGGAAGAGGATTTATGGATGTCAACTTCCTTATTATGACGAAACACAGTGTTTCGGTGTATATGCTTACTCCTTCACCAAACGAAGGAGTAGGCATATACTCCAAAACGTTGTGTTTCATCATAGTGATCAATATTGAATGAAATTTTGAAAAAAAATAATAAAAGAGGTTACAAATGTAAGTCCAGAATGAACACTTTTTATTACCAGACAGTGTCATTACAAGATTAATTTGCATACTCACGTTAGTTTCTTTGTGTAAGGGGAAAAAATAATCAAAACTCTTCTTACTGTGTATAGAGCGATGCCCCCCCCCCCTCATTCTAGGTACAAAAAACTTGGCTTATACACGGCATTGTGATAAACAGGAGTTACTTTCTACAGCTCAAATTGTTCAAGAGCCATGTTGAAAATCAGACTGGCCAAATAGAATATTCAAGTTTACCTGCCCTTCGGAAATTTTGGTACCATAAACTATATTAATACGTAACAGACATGCTTATAACGTACTGATGGATATAACAAACTGTCTTTTGGTCGCATCCGTTTGCTGCTGTATGTATGCTTGTAACTAACTACGGTTATAAGAAGCTGTAATTAGCGGTCCCATTGAGATTTTTATAACTGTAGTTTACTGTATTTGAACATCCCTGGTTATCTGGTTATGACAGAAAAGAAAATGGACTTTAATATCTATTTTTTAACACTGTTTTGAAATATTACTGTTGCAATAGTTTCACCATGATTACAGTTTTGTGTTTTATTTATTCATTGCTATCATGAGTCTTTCATGACAATTGCATTAGTTAAAATAGCCTTGATAGTCACCCCTATGTTTTGCCTGATTACTGGTAAAGTTGATTAAAAAATTAAATTTTATTATGTTAATGATAAATATTTTCACTCGTTGATTCGCTTCATGCATTATTGTATTAGTATTATTCATGCTCTTTCTGATGCTGAGTTGTTTGTGTGTTGTATTCAGATATGGAGAGTAGCCTGGATTCAGAAGACATGGCAGCGGAGGGGGGACAGGAACCCAAGGTAACGATGCTAGAGCATGTCAAAGTTAACTGTTGATTCCTTGTGGTACAACGTGAACCAATGATGTCTGTAGGGGCACATGGAACAAGATGGTTTGTTTGTTGTTTAATGCTGCACTCAGCAATATTCCAGCTATATGATGTTGTCTAGACCAGACAATCCAGTGATTGATGTAATGAGCATCGATCCACACAATATGATGACATGCATCAACAAGGTCAGCGAGCCTGACCGTCCGATCCCGTTAGTGGCCTCTTACGACAAGCATAATCGGCTATTACGTCAAGCATGGGTTGCTGAAGATCTATTCTACCCCGGACCTTCTAGAGTCCCATGGAACAAGTGACAGTCTTTGCTTGGAGTAAAACAATAGCCAAGGTGTTTTCCTTTCCTCATGATAAATTTTGAGATTATTTTCACTATAACTATGTGGGCATGGTGGTTTGTTTGTTGTTTGACGCCACATTCAGCTATATGACGGCGGTCTGTAAATAATCTAATATGGACCAGATGATCTAGTGATTGACATCATGAGCATCGATCTACGCATTTGGGATACGATGACATGCATCAACTAAGAGCCTGACCAACCGATCTCATTAGTCCCCTCTTACTACAAGCATAGTTGCCTTTTTTCGGCAAGCATGGGTTGCTGAAGACCTATTCTGACCTGGATCTTCACAGGTAGACACGGTGGTGTAAATGCTGTTGACACAATGTTAGACATCCAGCTAGTGTGGCTAGTCCACAGTAATTCCTTCAGCATGATTGGACTGGTTCTATTCAATGTGACTAGTTTGTCATGGAAACTGCTAGTCCTGACCATATGTTGCTAGTCTTGGTATAGTGGTCTTGTGGTTGTGTCTGACCATGCAAACCATGAGGTGACATTGATTTATGCTTTCAATTAATTGAACGTTTATTTGTTAAAGAACAATTGTGAAGAAATATCTGTTTGATTTATTTTGTGATGGAGCCAGTTTGAGCAAGCTGAAGGGGCGGTCGGGTAGCCTAGTGGTTAAGGTGCTTGCTCGTCACGCCGAGACCCGGGTTTTATTCCTGACATGTGTACAATATGGTGTCCCCTGTCCTGATATTGCTGAAAGCGGCGTAAAACCAAACTCACTCACTCTAGCAAGCTGAGACTGATTTTGAAGTTTATCGTTATCAACAGGATATTTGATACATCAGTATAATCAGTGTTTTGAAATTACGAGAGATCCTTGAGCATTGCTCTTATTTAAAACAAGAGACCCCCTGACAAGAACCTCTTGACTTGTGTACCTAATTTCAAACACTGATTATCAAGATAAGGCTTTTTATTACTTGTTTATTGGTTTACATTACAACATGTTTTTGTCCACAGTGCAGTATAGATGGTTGAAAAGAGTAAAGATACTGTGTTGTTACTTTGGCTGTTAGACTTATTCACCAGCCCTGAGTGAAATGAGATGTATGTATTTTCAGCGAGAGCCACTCTATTTCCACTATGACCCTGCCACTGTTTCGCCAGAGATGGGCGGTGTGATGGACAGCATCAAGCAGGTAACGCCCGTTGTTGCATCCACTCATTAATTCTTTACTTGATTAATTATGTAAATAAAAGAATCAGAACAGATAAACATAACATTAGAAAGAAAGAAATTTTTTTTTTGTCTGTAGGCTGTTTTTGTGTTATCAGATGTTGATGACTTGCACTTATTGTGATAGTGATAAAAGATTGTTAGTGCCATGATGTTGGAGATGTTTCTGCTTTGCTCATCGCAATAGATTGTGAAGTGAATGTCTTCCTTTCTGTAGCTTGCGGAGGAGTTGTTGTACCATTGGCGTGAGTTACCGATCGTGCTGCCCGAGTCCATCACAGACGCCTCCATCAGGGATTCTGGTCGCTGGGACGAGGATGGAGACTCGGAGAAGAAGGTAGGCACAACATTACATTGAGACAGCAGAGAAGTCAAGGCACCTAAATATCTGATGTAGCTGTAGGGAATCAAGCTGGTGTAGGTGTAGAGATTGATGCTGGAGTAGGTGGTGCAGGTGTGGATACTGATGCTGGAGTAGGCAGTGCAGGTGTAGAGACTGATGCTGGAGAAGGCAATGCAGGTGTAGAGACTGATGCTAGAGTAGGCAGTGCAGGTGTAGAGACTGATGCTGGAGTAGGCAGTGCAGGTGTAGAGACTGATGCTGGAGTAGGTGGTGCAGGTGTAGGGCTGATGCTGGAGTAGGCAATGCAGGTGTAGAGACTGATGCTAGAGTAGGCAGTGCAGGTGTAGAGACTGATGCTGGAGTAGGCAGTGCAGGTGTAGAGACTGATGCTGGAGTAGACAGTGCAGGTGTGGAGACTGCTAGAGTAGGCAGTGCAGGTGTAGAGACTGATGCTAGAGGAGGCAGTGCAGGTGTAGAGACTGATGCTAGAGTAGACAGTGCAGGTGTGGAGACTGCTAGAGTAGGCAGTGCAGGTGTAGAGACTGATGCTGGAGTAGGCAGTGCAGGTGTAGAGACTGATGCTAGAGTAGGCAGTGCAGGTGTGGAAACTGATGCTAGAGTAGACAGTGCAGGTGTGGAGACTGCTAGAGTAGGCAGTGGAGGTGTATAGACTGATGCTGGAGTAGGCAATGCAGGTGTGGAGACTGCTAGAGGTAGGCAATGCAGACGTAGAGACTGATGCTGGTGTAGGCAGTGCAGGTGTGGAGACTGATGCTGGTGTAGGCAGTGCAGGTGTAGAGACTGATGCTAGAGTAGACAGTGCAGGTGTGGAGACTGCTAGAGTAGGCAGTGGAGGTGTATAGACTGATGCTGGAGTAGGCAGTGCAGGTGTGGAGACTGCTAGAGGTAGGCAATGCAGATGTAGAGACTGATGCTGGTGTAGGCAGTGCAGGTGTGGAGACTGATGCTGGTGTAGGCAGTGCAGGTGTAGAGACTGATGCTAGAGTAGGCAGTGCAGGTGTAGAGACTGATGCTGGAGTAGGCAGTGCAGGTGTAGAGACTGATGCTAGAGTAGACAGTGCAGGTGTGGAGACTGCTAGAGTAGGCAGTGGAGGTGTATAGACTGATGCTGGAGTAGGCAGTGCAGGTGTGGAGACTGCTACAGGTAGGCAATGCAGACGTAGAGACTGATGCTGGAGTAGGCAGTGCAGGTGTAGAGACTGATGCTGGTGTAGGCAGTGCAGGTGTGGAGACTGATGCTGGTGTAGGCAGTGCAGGTGTAGAGACTGATGCTAGAGTAGGCAGTGCAGGTGTAGAGACTGATGCTGGAGTAGGCAGTGCAGGTGTAGAGACTGATGCTAGAGTAGGCAGTGCAGGTGTAGAAACTGATGCTAGAGTAGGCAGTGCAGGTGTAGAGACTGATGCTGGAGTAGGCAGTGCAGGTGTGGAGACTGCTAGAGGAGGCAATGCAGACGTAGAGACTGATGCTAGAGTAGGCAGTGCAGGTGTGGAGACTGCTAGAGTAGGCAATGCAGACGTAGAGACTGATGCTGGAGTAGGCAGTGCAGGTGTAGAGACTGATGCTGGTGTAGGCAGTGCAGGTGTGGAGACTGATGCTGGTGTAGGCTGCACAGGTGTAGAGACTGATGCTGGTGTAGGCAGTGCAGGTGTAGAGATTGATGCTGGAGTAGGCAGTGCATGTGTAGAGACTGATGCTGGAGTAGGCAGTGCAGGTGTAGAGACTGATGCTGGAGTAGACAGTGCAGGTGTAGAGACTGATGCTAGAGTAGGCAGTGCAGGTGTAGAGACTGATGCTGGTGAAGGCAGTGCAGGTGTGGAGACTGATGCTGGTGTAGGCAGTGCAGGTGTAGAGACTGATGCTAGAGTAGGCAGTGCAGGTGTAGAGACTGATGCTGGAGTAGGCAGTGCAGGTGTAGAGACTGATGCTAGAGTAGACAGTGCAGGTGTGGAGACTGCTAGAGTAGGCAGTGGAGGTGTAGAGACTGATGCTGGAGTAGGCAGTGCAGGTGTGGAGACTGCTAGAGGAGGCAATGCAGACGTAGAGACTGATGCTAGAGTAGGCAGTGCAGGTGTGGAGACTGCTAGAGTAGGCAATGCAGACGTAGAGACTGATGCTGGAATAGGCAGTGCAGGTGTAGAGACTGATGCTGGTGTAGGCAGTGCAGGTGTGGAGACTGATGCTGGTGTAGGCTGCACAGGTGTAGAGACTGATGCTGGTGTAGGCAGTGCAGGTGTAGAGATTGATGCTGGAGTAGGCAGTGCATGTGTAGAGACTGATGCTGGAGTAGGCAGTGCAGGTGTAGAGACTGATGCTGGAGTAGACAGTGCAGGTGTAGAGACTGATGCTGGAGTAGGCAGTGCAGGTGTAGAGACTGATGCTGGAGTAGGCAGTGCAGGTGTAGAGACTGATGCTGGAGTAGGCAGTGCAGGTGTAGAGACTGATGCTAGAGTAGACAGTGCAGGTGTAGAGACTGATGCTAGAGTAGGCAGTGCAGGTGTAGAGACTGATGCTGGAGTAGGCAGTGCAGGTGTAGAGACTGATGCTGGAGTAGGCAGTGCAGGTGTAGAGACTGATGCTAGAGTAGGCAGTGCAGGTGTGGAGACTAATGCCAGAGTAGGCAGTGCAGGGCCTCTTTCCTCAAAGCTCGAGCGATCGATATTCCCATACTCTAACTAAGATTTATGACTGTAGTAGCACTAAGATTACTTTGTTGAATGAGACCCACGTATAGAGACTGATGCTGGAGGAGGCAGTGCAGGCATAGAGGGTGACCAGATACTGGACATATAAGACATCCTGAGTACAATGCTATATTAGTAAGTGCAGCCTAATATTCTCATGCTTACGTTTGAATAAGTTGTATATGCATGAATCAATTGATACTGACATATGTTGCTGTCAGGGATGGATCAACTTCAAGAACATGTTCATCGCCCCAACATTTGAGGAGCTTGAGGAGGTTGCCAAGGGCAAGTCAGGAGGCCTGAAGAAACTCAATGAGAAGCAGCTCAACAGCATCTGGAATCAGGGGTGAGATACTGTAGAGGATACACGGGAACAACTGTAGGTCCTAGCAGTGATAGTTGTCGAAAGTAGTTGGAGGGAAGCTGTTGGGGAGCCTCAGACACAGAATAATGATATACAGTCAAGTCCTGTTAATCCGACATGGTTGGTTGCATATGATTATGTCGGATTAATGAGTATTTTGGATGAACGAAATTAAGTAGTATCGCGATAGATAACAATACAAACACTAATTGTTCATTAATTATTGCTCAGCAAGTTTATCTCTGCAGCTATTGTAATATGCAGCTACCAGCTGACTGGTGTCGCATCCAAACACAGGCTGTGTACTCGCAGGCAGATGACCATGGCGTACGCTGATCACTGTCGGATTAACAAGACTGATTAATGAGTGATTTCGGTAATTCGTTGCAAATTAGGTGTGTCTGAGTCGGAATGTGAGACTGTCAGATTAATGGGTCTAAATAGCACTGATTTAATCGGTTCCCTTCATTAGTGTCGGATAAAGCCGATTGTCGGATTAACGAGTGTCAGATTAACGAGACTTGACTGTATTTGATTTTGATATTATTATAATCTATTATTATTGAAATTGATGGAAGAGGATCCCCATTGAGGTATTTAATTTGGTGTGTTATTTGATTTTAGTGATACTGGTTATTATCAGTATCAAAATTGTGACATAGGGTTTAATTGTAATGTAAAAAGCACCTTTACTAATGGATTCTGTACACATTTCAGTGAGTTTGAGGTGGACAGCATTCACTTCCCTGGCCAGGTTCACAGGTGGCGCCTCACCCAGCTGCTTCAGAAGGGTTCCATCAGAGCTCAAGGTACCCTGCTCAATGTGAGTAACTCTGAAGCTGTACACTTTCTCTGGGCTAGTTGGATTGAAGATAGTGATACCATAAGGACACCCCCTATTAAGCCTGAAATCCTACTAGCTTTTCAGATTCCTTTTATGTTAGACAAGCTGACTTGGGCTTGTGAGCTAGTGCCAATTTGCATTCAAAAATTGAAAGATTGTTGATGTGAATTCCTTCTCAGTAAGCTGTAACTCTATCTATGACATTAGTACTCATGTCAAATTAACTCATGTTACACTGGTCACAAATACGTGATGTCACATTATTCATTATTGCTGTGTTGTGTGAAATTTTATTATGTATTGAGCACATTGAGTTACATTCATAATGATGTAAATTTGAGAAAATGTTTGACATTGTTAGCAATCTTCTGTGGTTTGTCTGATCCTAGTGAGTCCGCCTCCGTGGTCTAGTGGTAGAGCGTCCGCCTGAAAAGAGCGGAAGGTCTGTGGTTCGATCCCCGGCCGTGTCATACCAAAAGACGTTAAAAGATGGTACTTGTTGTTACCCTGTCTGGCGCTCGGCATTAAGGGGCTAAAACAAGGACTGGTCGCCTCGTAGTCAGTATACTGTGTCTGAGTGGGGTATTCATGTTAAACTGCGGCATGATATCTCAGTGAGCTAGCACTATAAATCGGCATCAGTCCGGACTAGTACAAGCAGCCACACAAACACACACACGTACATGCACGTCGCTATATAAGTGCAATAATCTTGGACGTGACGTTAAACCCCATTTCACCTCCCCTCACCTGATCCTAGTGAAAGAAACGATAACAGTAACAAGCAAAATGATTGTGAGTTGGTTCCACTGACTGCCATGTTTGTTGCACACTGATTTGTGTCTGCTTCAGGATGCTGCCTGGTCCCTGAAACTCCTTATCATCACAGCCCGAGACAGGTTCTGCTCTCAGTTCTTCAGTGTCTCGGATGCTCTGCGCGGCTGGGGGCAAGGCCTGTGGAAGTTGCTAGGTAGGCTGTCTGTTAAAGGGGTTCTCTCTGTTGGTTGTCATTAGGACTTAGTTTACAAATTGATTGTCGCTGTCAGGGCCAATGGGGTGGTCTAGGTAGGCTGTCTATTGCAGGGGTTCTCTTTGTTGGTTGTCATTAGGTCTTAGTTTACAAATTGATTGTCGCTGTCAGGGCCAATGGGGTGGTCTAGGTAGGCTGTCTGTTAAAGGGGTTCTCTCTGTTGGTTGTTATTAGGACTTAGTTTACAAATTGATTGTCGCTGTCAGGGCCAATGGGGTGGTCTAGGTAGGCTGTCTATTGCAGGGGTTCTCTCTGTTGGTTGTCATTAGGACTTAGTTTACAAATTGATTGTCGCTGTCAGGGCCAATGGGGTGGTCTAGGTAGGCTGTCTATTGCAGGGGTTCTCTTTGTTGGTTGTCATTAGGACTTAGTTTACAAATTGATTGTCGCTGTCAGGGCCAATGGGGTGGTCTAGGTAGGCTGTCTATTGCAGGGGTTCTCTCTGTTGGTTGTCATTAGGACTTAGTTTACAAATTGATTGTCGCTGTCAGGGCCAATGGGGTGGTCTAGGTAGGCTGTCTATTGCAGGGGTTCTCTCTGTTGGTTGTCATTAGGACTTAGTTTACAAATTGATTGTCACTGTCAGGGCCATGGGGTGGTCTAGGTAGCTTGAGCTGCATATTACAAGTGATGTTAACTTGGAAGATATGGGTTGAAATTGTTGCATAAATGCTTGTGTCATACTGACCATACAATGTTTCTGAATCGTATTACAAGATTTTTGTTGATTTGCTTATTTTGAGAAATATGGATAACAATGGTAATTGCTCTGCTAAGTGCCATTACATGTCTAAAACATTGAACCTGTAAAGATTCGGGTTAGAATAGGTCCAGGTCTTCCGCAACAAATGCTTGCCGCAAAAGGCGACTATGCTTGTCGTAAGAGGTGACTAACAGGATTGGATAGTCAGGCTTGCTGACTTGGTTGAAGAATGTCATCGTATCCCAATTGCGTTGGTCGATGCTCATTTCCTGACTGCTGTCATAGAGTTGGAATATTGCCATTGTTAAACAACAAATAATAAACAATACCAACACGTTCACAAATTTCGGCTGACCTGTATTTATCCTGTATCCAAAGTGAACGATAGTTACTTTGATAGTAGCATCCATGACATGTCTGTAGGTTACACGATATGGTGTTATTCAACATGACTAGAACTCGTAAAACAACTGAAACTGTCATGTCATGTCCAGACTCAATTATTTACAGACCGCAGATATATAGCAGCAATATTGATAGTGCAGCGTTAAACAACAAACAAATTAAAACAATGAAACATTGATTCCTCATAACAGCATCCTAAACCTATGAAGAACATGCAACACAAAGTTGTGAGTAGACTTCACGATACTTTTAAGTTATGCAGATTGATATGAAAACGAGGGAAACAAAACTTTCTCCTCACAAAAACTATCATGAAAGCAGATTCTTATGGACCTCATGTATCTAGTGCAGTGTTTGAAATTTAAGGGCCCTGCGGTCCTTGAGGTTTTCTACTGTAGTATTTGAATCTAGGCACACCTTTTTTTTGAAAATTGTAAAGGGCTATTGCAAGGATCTCATGACGTTCATGCTTAATTTCAAACATTGCTGATACCATAAAAATGTATTTGGTATGGATACTACTACCAATCATGACTCTATTAATGGTCACCTAACAACTGCTTGTGTTACAGATATTGCATTTGGTATGCCCTCCACCACGGCTGGTGACCTCGGGTACAAGGTGAAGCAGGAGCACATGCGCTACCTGGTGGCTGAACTCAGTATCAAGGTGAGACAACTCACAAGGCAGGGTGGTACAGTTGGGCTAAAAAGTATGGGAGGCCCAGTACAGAGTAACATCCCTGAGGCATGCCAGAAACCTTTGATTGTTTGTTTGAATCTGAGATTTGGGTTTTTTGCCAGAGCGTAAACATCTAAGACCTGCATCACGTAAGGCTTTCCACTCACATGAAGAGGACATGCCCTGATGTACCTGGAATACTTTTCAAAGCAGCATTTAACAACTAACTCACTAAAATTAGGATTTGTTTTGATGCATTGCAACAAATCTTTCCTTGGTAGGCAAATTCCCTAGTTTATGATTTAAAGTTGGTTTAGTTTGAAATGAAGCAGAAACAGAAGTCGATTGCTGCAGGATAATTGGAGCCATATCTTTCTTCTTAGAAAAGAACTACAGTTTCTCACTGTGGCTCCCCTTGTGGGTACAGTTTGGTACTTCTTTATCAACCTTACTGTGGGTTTGAATCCCGGTTCGCCCCAATTATGTTTCTAGGTTTGTCAGCACCATACCTGTGCTCGTGGGTTTCACCGAAGTGGTAAACGTCTTGAGACCTGCATCACTTCAGGGTGACACGCCGTGATATAACTGGAATAATGTTAAAAGCAGCGTTAAACCCAACTCACTCACTCACTTTATCAACCCTGCATTCAAGCTAGCAGAGGATTAAACTTTGATTTGACACTTTGACAAGTATGGGTAAATGAAATGGGTAAATACTCACTTAAGTTTAGTCTTCCCAAAACATTTGTCAGCTGGTCCATTTTGTATTTGGCATCATTTTTAGTAGATTCTGTTATGATATAAAGCCTATTATTAGCTGAGCTTGCAAGACAGACTCATATTTTACTTGACATGGAGTTTGGATGAGTCTCAGATGGTGTAATTGGCAACCGAATTATCAAGGGCAATGATAACTGCCAAGCCTTAAGTTATCTCCCTTTGTTCAACTGCGTGTCTGACATAATTATGCAGGGATGAGAATTTTGTGTAACATGCCATTACAATATACACATAAATCAGTATGGTCCACCAGTCCACCAGACAACTTTCAGTGTGTTCTTTAAAAAATCATTTACATCCCTACATATGTATTATTTATGCTAACATCATTAAAACTAAACTTTTAGGCAAGTTTAGTTTTATGGAAGGCACCCTTGTCCTTTTCAAGAAATTAATGTTATATTCTTCTTCAGCCAAGTTCTAAGCGAGAGCTGAACAACTTTTGTGAATATGTGAAAGAACAGTGTCGACTTCTGAGGACTGAGAAAAACAAGGTAAGCAAATAGTCACATGTTGGATTTTGGTGATGGAGGATGGAGTATAGGGTGGAGCGTCCACTTGGTACATGGAGGATGGAGTATAGGGTGGGGTGTCCACTTGGTACATGGAGTATAGGGTTGGGTGTCCACTTGGTACATGGAGTATAGGGTGGGGTGTCCACTTGGTACATGGAGGATGGAGTATAGGGTGGAGTGTCCACTTGGTACATGGAGGATGGAGTATAGGGTGGGGTGTCCACTTGGTACATGGAGGATGGAGTATAGGGTGGGGTGTCCACTTGGTACATGGAGGATGGAGTATAGGGTTGGGTGTCCACTTGGTACATGGAGGATGGAGTATAGGGTGGGGTGTCCACTTGGTACATGGAGGATGGAGTATAGGGTGGGGTGTCCACTTAGTACATGGAGGATGGAGTATAGGGTTGGGTGTCCACTTGGTACATGGAGGATGGAGTATAGGGTGGGGTGTCCACTTGGTACATGGAGGATGGAGTATAGGGTGGGGTGTCCACTTTGTACATGGAGGATGGAGTATAGGGTTGGGTGTCCACTTGGTACATGGAGGATGGAGTATAGGGTGGGGTGTCCACTTGGTACATGGAGTATAGGGTTGGGTGTCCACTTGGTACATGGAGTATAGGGTGGCGTTTCCACTTGGTACATGGAGGATGGAGTATAGGGTGGAGTGTCCACTTGGTACATGGAGGATGGAGTATAGGGTGGGGTGTCCACTTGGTACATGGAGTATAGGGTTGGGTGTCCACTTGGTACATGGAGTATAGGGTGGGGTGTCCACTTGGTACATGGAGGATGGAGTATAGGGTTGGGTGTCCACTTGGTACATGGAGGATGGAGTATAGGGTGGGGTGTCCACTTGGTACATGGAGGATGGAGTATAGGGTTGGGTGTCCACTTGGTACATGGAGGATGGAGTATAGGGTGGGGTGTCCACTTGGTACATGGAGTATAGGGTGGAGTGTCCACTTGGTACATGGAGGATGGAGTATAGGGTGGCGTTTCCACTTGGTACATGGAGGATGGAGTATAGGGTGGCGTTTCCACTTGGTACATGGAGGATGGAGTATAGGGTGGGGTGTCCACTTGGTACATGGAGGATGGAGTATAGGGTGGAGTGTCCACTTGGTACATGGAGTATAGGGTGGAGTGTCCACTTGGTACATGGAGGATGGAGTATAGGGTGGCGTTTCCACTTGGTACATGGAGGATGGAGTATAGGGTGGGGTGTCCACTTGGTACATGGAGTATAGGGTGGCGTTTCCACTTGGTACATGGAGGATGGAGTATAGGGTGGCGTTTCCACTTGGTACATGGAGGATGGAGTATAGGGTGGAGTGTCCACTTGGTACATGGAGTATAGGGTGGAGTGTCCACTTGGTACATGGAGGATGGAGTATAGGGTGGCGTTTCCACTTGGTACATGGAGGATGGAGTATAGGGTGGGGTGTCCACTTGGTTACTTGGAGAATGGAGTATAGGGTTGGGTGTCCACTTGGTACATGGAGGATGGAGTATAGGGTGGGGTGTCCACTTGGTACATGGAGGATGGAGTATAGGGTGGGGTGTCCACTTGGTACATGGAGGATGGAGTATAGGGTGGGGTGTCCACTTGGTACATGGAGGATGGAGTATAGGGTGGGGTGTCCACTTGGTACATGGAGGATGGAGTATAGGGTGGGGTGTCCACTTAGTACATGGAGAATGGAGTATAGGGTTGGGTGTCCACTTGGTACATGGAGTATAGGGTGGGGTGTCCACTTGGTACATGGAGTATAGGGTGGGGTGTCCACTTGGTACATGGAGTATAGGGTGGGGTGTCCACTTAGTACATGGAGGATGGAGTATAGGGTGGGGTGTCCACTTGGTACATGGAGGATGGAGTATAGGGTGGGGTGTCCACTTGGTACATGGAGGATGGAGTATAGGGTGGGGTGTCCACTTAGTACATGGAGAATGGAGTATAGGGTTGGGTGTCCACTTGGTACATGGAGGATGGAGTATAGGGTGGGGTGTCCACTTGGTACATGGAGTATAGGGTGGGGTGTCCACTTAGTACATGGAGGATGGAGTATAGGGTGGGGTGTCCACTTGGTACATGGAGGATGGAGTATAGGGTTGGGTGTCCTGTTGGTACATGGAGGATGGAGTATAGGGTGGGGTGTCCACTTGGTACATGGAGTATAGGGTGGGGTGTCCACTTAGTACATGGAGGATGGAGTATAGGGTGGAGTGTCCACTTGGTACATGGAGGATGGAGTATAGGGTGGCGTTTCCACTTGGTACATGGAGGATGGAGTATAGGGTGGGGTGTCCACTTGGTACATGGAGGATGGAGTATAGGGTGGGGTGTCCACTTGGTACATGGAGGATGGAGTATAGGGTTGGGTGTCCACTTGGTACATGGAGGATGGAGTATAGGGTGGGGTGTCCACTTGGTACATGGAGGATGGAGTATAGGGTTGGGTGTCCACTTTGTACATGGAGGATGGAGTATAGGGTTGGGTGTCCACTTGGTACATGGAGGATGGAGTATAGGGTGGGGTGTCCACTTGGTACATGGAGGATGGAGTATAGGGTTGGGTGTCCACTTGGTACATGGAGGATGGAGTATAGGGTTGGGTGTCCACTTAGTACATGGAGTATAGGGTGGCGTTTCCACTTGGTACATGGAGGATGGAGTATAGGGTGGGGTGTCCACTTGGTACATGGAGGATGGAGTATAGGGTTGGGTGTCCACTTTGTACATGGAGTATAGGGTGGGGTGTCCACTTTGTACATGGAGGATGGAGTATAGGGTTGGGTGTCCACTTAGTACATGGAGTATAGGGTGGGGTGTCCACTTGGTACATGGAGGATGGAGTATAGGGTTGGGTGTCCACTTGGTACATGGAGTATAGGGTGGGGTGTCCACTTGGTACATGGAGGATGGAGTATAGGGTGGGGTGTCCACTTGGTACATGGAGGATGGAGTATAGGGTGGGGTGTCCACTTAGTACATGGAGGATGGAGTATAGGGTGGGGTGTCCACTTGGTACATGGAGTATAGGGTGGGGTGTCCACTTTGTACATGGAGGATGGAGTATAGGGTGGGGTGTCCACTTTGTACATGGAGGATGGAGTATAGGGTGGGGTGTCCACTTTGTACATGGAGGATGGAGTATAGGGTTGGGTGTCCACTTAGTACATGGAGTATAGGGTGGGGTGTCCACTTGGTACATGGAGGATGGAGTATAGGGTTGGGTGTCCACTTGGTACATGGAGTATAGGGTGGGGTGTCCACTTGGTACATGGAGGATGGAGTATAGGGTGGGGTGTCCACTTGGTACATGGAGGATGGAGTATAGGGTGGGGTGTCCACTTTGTACATGGAGGATGGAGTATAGGGTGGGGTGTCCACTTAGTACATGGAGTATAGGGTGGGGTGTCCACTTGGTACATGGAGTATAGGGTGGGGTGTCCACTTGGTACATGGAGGATGGAGTATAGGGTGGGGTGTCCACTTAGTACATGGAGTATAGGGTGGGGTGTCCACTTGGTACATGGAGTATAGGATGGGGTGTCCACTTGGTACATGGAGGATGGAGTATAGGGTGGGGTGTCCACTTTGTACATGGAGGATGGAGTATAGGGTGGGGTGTCCACTTAGTACATGGAGTATAGGGTGGGGTGTCCACTTAGTACATGGAGTATAGGGTGGGGTGTCCACTTGGTACATGGAGTATAGGGTGGGGTGTCCACTTGGTACATGGAGGATGGAGTATAGGGTGGGGTGTCCACTTGGTACATGGAGGATGGAGTATAGGGTGGGGTGTCCACTTGGTACATGGAGGATGGAGTATAGGGTGGGGTGTCCACTTGGTACATGGAGTATAGGGTGGGGTGTCCACTTAGTACATGGAGGATGGAGTATAGGGTGGGGTGTCCACTTGGTACATGGAGGATGGAGTATAGGGTGGGGTGTCCACTTGGTACATGGAGGATGGAGTATAGGGTTGGGTGTCCACTTGGTACATGGAGGATGGAGTATAGGATTGGGTGTCCACTTGGTACATGGAGTATAGGGTGGGGTGTCCACTTAGTACATGGAGTATAGGGTGGGGTGTCCACTTGGTACATGGAGGATGGAGTATAGGGTTGGGTGTCCACTTGGTACATGGAGGATGGAGTATAGGGTGGGGTGTCCACTTGGTACATGGAGGATGGAGTATAGGGTTGGGTGTCCACTTGGTACATGGAGTATAGGGTGGGGTGTCCACTTAGTACATGGAGTATAGGGTGGGGTGTCCACTTGGTACATGGAGGATGGAGTATAGGGTGGAGTGTCCACTTGGTACATGGAGGATGGAGTATAGGGTTGGGTGTCCACTTGGTACATGGAGGATGGAGTATAGGGTGGGGTGTCCACTTGGTACATGGAGGATGGAGTATAGGGTGGAGTGTCCACTTGGTACATGGAGGATGGAGTATAGGGTGGAGTGTCCACTTGGTACATGGAGTATAGGGTGGGGTGTCCACTTGGTACATGGAGTATAGGGTGGGGTGTCCACTTGGTACATGGAGGATGGAGTATAGGGTGGGGTGTCCACTTGGTACATGGAGGATGGAGTATAGGGTGGGGTGTCCACTTGGTACATGGAGTATAGGGTGGGGTGTCCACTTGGTACATGTAGGATGGAGTATAGGGTGGGGTGTCCACTTGGTACATGGAGGATGGAGTATAGGGTGGAGTGTCCACTTGGTACATGGAGGATGGAGTATAGGGTGGGGTGTCCACTTGGTACATGGAGGATGGAGTATAGGGTGGGGTGTCCACTTGGTACATGGAGGATGGAGTATAGGGTGGAGTGTCCACTTGGTACATGGAGGATGGAGTATAGGGTGGGGTGTCCACTTGGTACATGGAGGATGGAGTATAGGGTGGGGTGTCCACTTGGTTACTTGGAGAATGGAGTATAGGGTTGGGTGTCCACTTGGTA